TTTTTTTTTTACTTTGTAACAAATTTGGTGTTTTAAAACTTCAAGTTAACTCTTAATATAATGGTGTTATGAGTTTTGTTAATTTCAGGACTTAATTTGATAATTTTATAACATTTAGGTCTTGAATTGAGAAAAAAAAAAAATTAGCTCTCGATTTGATAGTTTACCTATATTTCAGGCATTGTATTGAAAATACCTCTAAATTCATAATACCGAAAATAGTAGGGTTGAATTAAAATTAAGTTAGATTACGAGTTACATGAAAATGAAAGTGGATTTTTTTGTAACCAGTCACATCCTTAATGTTTAAATACACCAACATAACCTTCACAAGTGAAAATAACTATTTACTTTTGAAATATGATTTACATTTTATTTTCTCAATACAAGGAAATTAAAAGGCCAACAAACAAGCACAATCTAATTTAATTTTCCTACTCTAAACTTGAAGACCTGCTACATCTTTTCTTCAAGTACTCTTCAACACAAAGAGGGCTGCTTTGGTCAACGCTGCTGAATGATGTAGAGTTGTCATTTACATCAAGAAGTGCTAAACTCAAATGCGACTCTGCATGTGAATCTGGGTATACTTCATCATCATCATCATCATCATCATCATCATTGGCTAATTTTGCTCCATCCTCATATTCCTCCCCCTTTAGGATACATAGTATCTTAACAAAAAGTGGACTTAGGATGAGTTATTGTAGTCAAAGGGTGTAGTGTGCAATTTTGAAAAGTTCATTGGGTAATCTTGTAAATAGATTCTAGCTTAAGGGTAACTAGTGTGCAATTTTGGAAGTTCCTTGGGTAATCTTATAAATAGATTGTAGCTTAAGGGTACTTCTGCATATAAACGACGATCAAATTCGTATCTGCTGGTGTGGGCAAGAGGTTGAGCCGTTAGATCAACACACGGTGCATACGTGTGATCTGACGGCTCAAAACTCTGCCCACATCTGCAGGGTTGAATCTTTATTAATTACGAAAACACCCCTAGAATTATGATAATTGAAGAAAATTTTCGAATCTAACGAATGGTACTTTGTATTTATCGTAAAATCGTAGGGGCTCTTTTGTAATTAAACATTAAACTTGTCGAAAGGAGGCGAGTCGATCGGGTTTCGAACTCAGCCCGAGAACATAAGTTACCTTTTCGATTCCAGGACGAATCCGAGCCGCTGGATTTAGACAAAGTTTTGCAGCAAGTGCCATTCTCTGCAATTGAGTTTCATCATATTTGCCACCCAAACAAGGATCCAATATGCTCTTTAAGTTTAACTCCCCACTTTCTAGTTTTGGTTTAGCCTATTAAGATATGCAGAAAAACAAAACCACACACAACTTAATAGGAACTTAAGTGTCGAGAAAATCATAAATGCTATACCAACCCCAGAGGTTCACCCTAATCCCAGAACAACCCGAAATCGAAACATAGTCGATGCTTTCTGTAATTAGACTAAACCTCAGGGGTGCTTTTTGTGATTTATGAATCTGAACCTTACGCACATGACTAAACTGCAATTTATCTAATTTGAACCTTACCCACATGACTAAACTTTCTTTAGCTTTTGTAGTCTCCAAACCAATGGCTTTTCGCCCTGAAATCAGCTCCAACAGAACCACGCCAAACGAGTACACGTCGATTTTGTCGCTTATTTTTCCATACATGAAGTACTCAGGAGCCAAATATCCGAATGTGCCGACTAAATCGCTATCCATCAAGAGAAACGGCGATGTGGGCCCCCACATTGCTAGTCCGAAATCGCACAACTGGTAAGAAATGTAATTAGATTGTTTTTCAAGGATCATTTCACAAAAAAACAAAAAAAAAAAAAACCACAAAATGTAGTAGAACCTGTGGCTCAAGTTCTTCAGTTAGTAGGATATTTGAAGACTTGACATCTCTATGAATAATAGGCTTTGAGCACTCATTATGTAGGTAATGAAGAGCTTCGGCTATGCCGAAAGCTATCCCAAACCTCGAATCCCACGACAATATAGATCTTTCCTTCCCGTCACCTGATTTTTTTTTTTTATTTATCGAAATTAGTCGATATGCATTTTTTTGGTTTATCACGATATTTATGCTCGTTTTTTAAGTAGTAACTCACCGTGTAGATTTTGTTCGAGGCTTCCTTTAGACAAGAATTCGTAGACAGATATGAGCTCATTATCTTTCACGCAGATTCCGAGCAATGGCGTGATTCTTTTGTGGTTTATCGACGTGATTATATCGAGCTCGAGCATGAAATTCTTTAAAGATTCTTTAGACGACTTTAGAACTTTCACAGCAACTGGTCTTCCTTCCGGAAGAACGCCTTTGTATACGGAGTTGCATCCTCCTTTCCCGATGAGATTCGCTACGTGAAATCGCAAGGCAAATCGTAAAAATTTTAAACGAAAAGAAAAAATCAGTTTAAAAAGATATGAATAAAAAAATTACCTGATGAGAAATTAGAAGTCGAACATTTGATCACATTATAATCGAAAACTCTGCATCCGATCGAGTTACACTTGTCGAGCAAAAGCTCCGAATATTCTCTTCGAAAAACTCCCTCGTTCGTACACGCTGACGTGTCGAACTCGGGATATGCGGGTAAGGACAGAGAACGACGAGGCAAACTCGTCATAACCCACTTCACGACCGATATTTTTCTTGCATCCTTTGACGGTCGAGCTTTCGAGCCGGCTGTCTGAAGCAAAGGCCACCCGGGCTTGGGATCGCTCACTCCGAATCGGGCTTTCTCATCGAAACTCGACATTTTGGATTCGCCAAATTTCGAGCAAGCGTTAGTGAAGTTGACTTTTTCGGTTAATCTCGAGACGGGCTCTGTAGATCATCCAAATAACGATTGTAATGTTCCGTTAAAAAAACAAAAACTACGATTTTGAAAATTACGATGAACGAAAACACACAACGAATCGAACCGAACCGAACCTTGAAGTAGTTGCAGATTGGATAATCTGCTGAAGAAAACCTTCCCATCATAAATTGAAATAACTTGAGTAGTTTTAGGCAGCTTGTTACGGATTCAAGGTCTGAAATGGGGAAATCGAATTTGCAGATCGAAGGAAAAGGAATTAGGGTTAAGGACATTGAAGAGACAAATGCCGATTCAGAAATGACAAAGGAAATGCGTCTTCTTGGTTCAAATGTTAGCCAGTTGACACGTGGCGGTCAAACCGAAGGACCGTTGGGCCCTGAGTCAGCAGCACGTGGCTAATGATGTGGCATGGGGAGAATTAATTATAGAATAGTAGTATTTTACTTTAATTGTTATTTTTGCTATTTAAGTGTTTTGGCATGTAGTGAGGAGAATATGTTAGTGGACCCAAGTTTGTTATTTAACCTGAGTGAAACCAAGGGAAATGCAACAAGAATTACAACCAATTTCTCCCCTCTGTTTCTCGCTCTATCTCTCTCTACCTCTCTCTATCTCTATCTCTCTCTCTAGCTTCATCTTCTTCATGCTACTGTCTCCAAATTACAGAGTATGATCCATTAATAAATTACATTAATAGTAGGAATCGCAACACAGCTTTTTTGAGCAATACTTAGCAACTGAAGTCCATCCTCTGTGAGGAAAACTTGTGTTTAATTAACACTTGAAAATCAACAATTTTTTACATAACAAAATTAGAATTTAAGGGAAACAATAAGTTTTAGTTTGTAGCTAATATTTAAATATTTATATCTCAATTCTCACCCAAAGGCACTGAGCT